CATTCCACAATAATATAGCAGTTGCATTTGAAGCGATCCAGCATCAATTCCAAATGTCTCATTGTTGATATCATTTGTATTTGCATTGAGAGGATTTACTATGAATGCAAGAGTACTTTTGTTTTGAATTGCTCGAATCTCTCAGCGAATCCATCCTTCATATTTTTAAAGCTATGTTGAAGTAATTCGTGTCAATAACTGCATTGGTCTCATAGCAATATACTTCAGATTTTTAAAATTTACCGCTCTTCATGTCTTCAACAGAAATATGTATTTTGTTTTCGAAACAAACTACTACTTCAAGCAAGCCGTACGCTGGGTTGCCCTTTCCTTGCAGTTTTAAATTTAGTTCATTTAATTTCATTGCGGTATCTACCATGAAGTAGAATTTTTGCAACCGTTTGGCTTCTTCCAATTCAGGATGGTCAATACTTTCTTTCATTGAGGAATTTATTTCATGCAAACACAAAGTAAAACATTAAAATATGTTATGTCTGGAAAGCCATCATACTTTATTGTGCAGAATCAGGTTAGAACACTTTGATAAGATAATAGATAACCGATTATATCAAAGAAATCTTTAAACTGGTGATGGTAGAGTGCTTTCGCACACAAAGTGCTTCTTGGTAAATAACACAGTGAAAGATTAGAATTTCGTTTTTTTTGGTCCCCCTGAAGAATTGATGTTACCCCTCTATGTATTCCTGCCATACTTCTGACTAGCGATAGCAATCCTACAGTTCTTCGTTTGGACCTTGGGAGGACATATACCCTACGAAAAGGGTACTTGTGTTGTGTCTTTTATGTCACAAGACTCATCTAAAGCAAGTGATAACGCAGAAGTCAGCTGAATGTCTTGCACTTGCATATGTGTTACATTTGAAAACATCTTAGCAGTTCTATCTTGTACTGTTTTTGCAATTAATGGCAAATCTTTGATTTTTTTAATGATTTCTGCTTTGCTATTCAGATGGCACGTATAAAACAATCTTTGACATATTTGATGTGAATGGTTTTACTCTTTTTGCAATTTCTAATGACACTGCAGAGCTTGGAAGATTGTGCCCAGTTACTTAGCATGGAATATAACTGCCTTTTTTGGAGGGGCTCTTCAAGAGCTTTTTTCGTGCGTTCCCTGTTGGATATTTACCAGCAAACTGGGTATATTTTGTAGCGAAGTGTCTTCCCAAATTTGACTTCTTATTGTGTGCGAGTTTTTGGTGGCAAGCGAGACAACTCGGAAGGCCATCTGTGTTGCATATGAATGCAAACAACTCCACCCACTCCTGATTGAATTCTTGGTTTTCTTCTTCAGTTCTTCTCTTTTTTTACCACCTGCCATGCTGAAGGCGGAGCTGAAAAAATGAACAATAGTTCAAATTAGCAGTACAGTAACAATGATTGGTTCAAATTTACCTCATCATGGTCATGTTAAGCGTAATTAACGATTATGAAAAATAGAAGCTATTGAGAAATTAGGTACTTAAAAATATATTTTCTTATTTTTAAGGGTTTTGATAATAAATTATTAATTTTTCTGTATGGAACTGGTGAGCCGGAACTTTACATCAAAAGAGCCACATGCGGCTCGAGGTTGTCAACCCCTGTTCTAACCCAATGATGATGGATTGTGGTGATGAAAAGTTTAAATAATTTTCTTCTTTCTCATTAGCTCGGGTATCATTTTTACAGAGGCCAGTCTTCTAGAGGTCAAGGGAACTATCTTCTCAAATTGCATATCCAAAACAATTTGTAAGGGCACATGCCAAAAATATTCCTCCAAAATGCTAATTCACACTCAAAATGGTAGTCGTAAAAACAGAAGTTTCAGATGATTAAAATGCACAGCTTAAAGCATCTCTATTTTATTACTATCCATTTTTAGAAAGACTTTTTTTACCAGTTATTTACAGCAAAACATCTTAAAGCTTTTCAGGACAACATAATTTCTTGCTGAAAACTCACTTGCATATTTAAAAGGCAAAATTTTAGATTTAAAAGAGGTGTCACTAGATATGACAAATCTTATTGCTTCAATAAAAATAATTTGAAAAATACCTAATCTAAATCTATTAAAAATAAATTAACAAATAAATGTGTAGCTGAAAGAAATGACTCTGAGCACATTTCATAAATTTGTTGAGAGATCCTTTGGGATGAAAAAATAGGCAACATGGCTTTCTTTATTTAACCAAGGTGAAGGTAAGCATTCTCCTTCAAAGAAAAGAAATCTTTTTTTGACTGAATTACGTAAGGAAATATGAAATAAAGAGCAATTAAAATAAACAGAAGTTTGAAATTTTACTAGTTAAAAAAAGAAGCAGCAGTTTTTTTTTTTTTTTTTTTAAATTTGCAATAACCAAATTATGGGACTCGTAATTATGTGTGTGACATTAGCACAACTACATTATATTATACATATTGCAAAACTGAGGTATTATATAAACATACTCACTTTAAAAAAGAAGTTTTTTCACATTTAACTGCACAATAGCATGAAAGGAAAATAACAATTTTTCAATATTTCCATGAAAATTGCTCTGCCTCTGATTGGTTTTTCAATGCTTATGACAATAAATACCTTTTTAATATATTGCTTTCTAGAGATAAAAATACTTTAAACTACAAAAATCTATATTTTTACCCTTTTCACAAAATTTACATTTCAAAGATAAATAAAAATACAAAGAGAACATTTATAATTAGAAAGGTGCACATGTGTGTGTATGTGTATATATATATATAATGTATATAATAATTTATTTACTAAAGAAATATTTATTACATTATCTTTTAATATTAATTTTAGTAGAAGTATCTAAAAAGAGTGAACCCATAGGTAGGAAGTTTAATTCCAAAAATTGTTTTAAAGTAACTTGAATGTAAATTGTTAAAAATGTTTTACGGGGACTTGAATTAAATCATGAATAACAAAATTTCAAACTTTGAAAAAGAAATTAAATTAAAAGCAAGTAATTTTTGCTATTGATCAGACATTAGTTGACTTTTAGGGGAACAAACCAACCTCAGTTCAATGAACAATAATTAATACATACGAAGGTGTTTCGTCTTTTACTCAAGTAATAATGGTGATGCCAAACTGGCAAATTAAGTTAGGCCCAATAGTTCCGTGAAGTGAAGGGATTTAGAACCAAAGTACCAAAGAACTCATTCTGAATTAAGCATTTTCGCTAATGCAGATTTTGAGTGAAAAGCAATTTATGTAGTAAAATTGATAAAATACTTGAGTAATTGTCACCCAACACCCTCGCTTTTATGCATGTTAATTCAAAACTATTTGTATAAAAATTAAAACATTGGTAACTGGTCCGGGGACAATTACTCAAGTATTTTATCAAAATAAAATTACATAAATTGCTTTTATTTCTTTTACATAGAACACTTTAATCTCCCTCACCTTATATATCTTGTATTAAAAGAAATCCTGATGCATTACTTCACATTTAAAACTATCCCTAGTTCTTAATGGATTATTTGAAAATTGGTGTTACTCTTAATCAATTTCTATGTGTAAGTAGAAATAACTAACAACTCATGTCAATGAAATGTATATTGATTGCAAAGACTTCTTTAAAAGCAAATATAAATTTTTGCTATTTTTAATAATATAGCAAATGCAAGAAAAATCAAGTTAACGGATAAAAACAAATTTATTGGAAAAAAAAAAAAAAATTAAGAACAAAATATAGGCTACTGTTTCATATCCAACTATGAAATAGCAGTATTTAAAAACAAAAGAGTGGGTGTTTCAAAAAAATTAAATAATACTAAAGTAAAAAAATTGACTGGCAACCATTTTAATGCTCTAAAATACTAATATGTAACTGTAAATACTAGTATGTCTGCTTTTCTGTATGGTAAACTTTTACCTATGCAGAACAAAGTTAACAGACTACAGGCAAACTTGGAACTGCATTAAAATATATGATCTTCATGGCAACAATTTACATGCAAGTTTTGAATTTTTAATGTATGTGTATTGAAAAGCAAAGATAATGTAATGTGAACTATTTTTAGATATGTCAGTATTTTATTAGACAATGTTTTTTAAATGCATGTTTAATATACATATTTTTAATACTCCACTAATAATTTGGAATTAATTACAGTAGATTATAGCAAAATCTCGTTACAAAATATTCATTTTATGAGTAGAAATTTAATTTAAGACAATTCATCAAAAATTTAGATGTGTATAACTTATGTATAATCAATAAAGCAATAAAAAACAAGGACAAGCTCAGTCTTTAAGTAATTTTATTTCACCAAAAAAACAGGCGATTATATATGGAGACAGATAAAAAAAAAAAAAAAAAAAAAAAAAAAAAAATACGGCAGAGACGTATTTTCATTGTCAAATCTACATAAAGGGGAAAAAAAAAAATCTTTCATACACATACTAAGTTTGCTGCAGGTATATGATCAAACAGTAAAAATTTGTTCTGTGGTTTATATTGTAAAATTTTACAGTAAAATCTTGGAAATTTTCTCTATATCAAATATTAATACTGTTACTTGAAATCTATGAAAAAACAAATGTATGGAATTTTGTATAAAAGAGACCTGCAACAAAACTACAAGAGATCAATCTAAGAGAATAGCTTTCTGTTTACTAAATATTCATATATTTTGACCACACAATTTACACATAGTAAAAAACAGAATGAATGAAAACTATGAGCAAGAAATGCATTTCTACATTGACCCTTTCACGCTTTGAATAAAAAAATGATTCTGATACTTGTACGAATGAACTGGTTAATCTCAATAACCATACACACATTCATAAGATGCAGAAGAATAATTAACTAATATTTTCAGGATCAAAACCAGTTCATTTTTAGGGCTTCACTGAAAAATTCATGGAAAATATGGTTATATAGATACATTTAACTAGGAATGGCCAATGTCCTCAATGTTTATCTAAAAACATTTCAAAATTACATCAGTTCCATTTTCAAATAAATAACTTTTAGAAAATGCATTACGAAAATTTTTAATACAAAATGTGCTGATTTTGTACATGTCAATAAAGGTGAAAAAAATCGTGTTTACATAATGTTATGAATGGAAAATGAATATTAATTCGTGAAAAACGAATTTTACGCATCATCATCATCATCATCCTCTGCATCATCTTCTGCTCCATCTTCATCGCCCTCTTCTTCATCAAAGTCATCTCCTTCCCCTTCTGGCCCTACATCGTCATCATCATCTTTGCTAGATTCATCTTCACCCTCCTCTTCCTTATGTTCTGATTCACCATTTTCTTCACTAGCTATAACATTAATACAAAATTTTTATGTTTAATTGCAAGACAGTATTAAGCATGCAAATTACATATTTTCACATATAAAAAATACATTTTTTTTAAATGTTAAAAAATCTTTAAATTAGGCCTCATAACCAATTAATATACAAAAAAACTGTAAAAAGAAGTGGTAGCAAAACTTTTTAGCTTAAGTAGCAAGAACAGCATAAAAAATTAACGTGATGATCATGATTTTCCCCGACGTCACAGGTACACTGATGACATCACAAATTCAGTCTCTGTGTGCTGTTAAGTTACTAACTGGCTTCTTGCTCATTTTATACATATATTTATTTGACAAAAATCTTAAAAATATATTGCTAATTTTCCATTGTTTAAATCTCTATTTCTTCTTTTTATTAATTTGCAGTTAATTTAGACTATTATTTTTCAGTTAATTTGTTCATATTACACTGCTGCTTTCTCACATTTAACATATAATTCTTTGAGTTAGTAGTTTATTTTTTATGTGACCTCAGTTAACATTTACACAGTTTGCAGTATGTTTCTGTTTTGCATATTTTCTTTCTAACCAATTCTCAAATATTTAATAATATTAAGAAACTGATTTGAAAAGTGATGCTGAATTTTTTCAGTTATACTTTAATTAACAAAGCATTTATAATATGAATTAAAACATCCAAAATCCTTCCTACAGATCACCTAAATATTAAACAAAGCAATCAATGCAACAGGGGGAAATACCAGCAACTAGTGGTGAAAACTTAAAGCGGTGGGCCACATATGCAGGATTTCCAGTTGCCAAATTTTATTTAAATAGAAATAAATAGTTACTTTTTATTATACACAAATTTTAATACAAAATTACATTAGGATATACATACTTTACAATACATTAAAAAACTTTAGGGAACAAAAAGTAGCAAGAAATGAGGAAATAGCAGAAAATTTGCAAAGTTGTATAAACAAATCTTAGCAGAAAAAACCTGTCAAAAGTAACAATTTTGCGAAAAGCTGCATAATCTGGCAATCCTGGTAGAAAACAAAAAATTCTGAACAGAATAATCACCATAAAATTTACAAGGATAAAAACTGTAACTACTTCTCTTTATGTGTTTTAATACAACAGAACACATACTAAGAGTACCACAGAAGAGATGTAATTAAACAATGGAAAAAAGAAATACAGCACATATTAAACAAAACTTTTTTTTAAGGGAAAAAGAATATTTAAATGTATACTACCTATAACTGCAAAAATTACACTAACAGAAAAATTCTCTCACTGACACTATAATTTTTCTGTATAACTCATGCCTGCTTCAATTTGAAACTGGATAATAAAATACTGCCCTACACAGTATTTTTCAGAAATATATTGGGTTTTAATGAAAGTTTTCCGCCACCACAAATAGTTTGTGTTGACATGTTTAATTACATTTTGTCAAGGGATATCTGGCGTTTGAAAGAGACTTGCTTTAGAACACCATGTTGTGAAAAAGTATCATTAAATGTCTGAAATGGCACTATCACGCTACCAGATTAAAACCATAATTTATTTCCAGTTATGTCACAAAAAGTCAGCAACAAAACATCAATCATGTGCACGCTTAAAGTACAAATGCTGTATCATATAGCACTATGAAGGATTAGTACCGAAAGTTCAAAAACAAGAGCTATGACATTCAAGAAGCAGAGCACTCGCTCTGGCCAGCCTACTGATGTTGATGAGGCCTACCTGCGAGAACTTGTAGAAGATCAGCATGCAACCATTCGAGAGCTTGTTAAGGAGTTACTCATAGACGTTAAAGCAATGCCCATTAGTCGCGCTATACATTGCATAAACTTGAAGTACAAGTTTAATCACTGGGGCCATCAGTAAGACATTATGTGTGCTTTTACATGTAATATGGGGGGGGGAATCTTTCAAATTGAAAAAAACCACTCTTTCGGGTTCAAATAATGAAGCATTAAACTAAGCTACATAGAAATTGTGAATAAGAGAAAATCAGCAGAAATATACTGTAAGTTAAGCTGAAGGAAATATGGTCAGAAATCAGGAGAGTTGGCAACTCTGCACCTGATATATCATATACATGCTCAACAGCAGTTGTAAGCTGTTTTATAATGTTCATTTTCAGGAAGGGAAAAGAAAAAATAATCTTAATTTATATTTCTGCATACCAAATATCTAGAAATTGTAAAAGAAAGCTTCAAATGTTATATTTTAAAATTATTCTAAGCATAAACTATGCAGTTCTGAAATATCTGCATTTATCATGCACAATAAATCTCATATCCCTCAGTTAATCTCAAGCAATTTTAGAAGCATTATGATAATGACAAATGATCTGGAAAGGAAGGGATTTTGAATAAAATATTTCGTAAATGCATCCTTGATTTAAAAAAAAAAGTTTGCTTTACTTCATACAGGAAGAGAATTACATAACCTATTCCATAAAAAATTAAAATGCAAATAGCATAAAGCCTAAATATGCTTTTATTGTACACATTATAAATAAGATAAGACAACTATTATATGCAAGACAAAATTATACACTGAAGAGCCATTACATTATATGACAACCATGTTAATAACATGTTAACACTAAATTCTTTCATGTAGTTCAGTATTTAGTGAAAAATTTCTCTTAACATTCCATACACTTCTCTCAATACATTTGTTACCTAAATCAGTTAATGATCTGATATAATAACCTACATACATTTTCAAATACATTCTTCTTTGAGGAATATACAACAATATTAAGAATATTAGTTAGACTAACAATGCTGGCTCTGAAATTTCAATTGTTATGCATAATTTGTTTTCCATCTGCTATTACTCATACTATTTATATTTCATAGCTGATGCATAGAGCAAGCAAAGAAGTTTAATTATGTGCAAGGAATTGAAAGTACAAACAATAAGTACTTTACAAAGATCACATAGGGCCTACCATATATGCAGGAAGAGAAGAAAAACTTTTTACAAGAGAAAGAAAAACTTTTTAACACTTCATATGTTATATATAAATATACCCACTTTATATTCAGATATAGTAAAATTTCATCCTCAAATAACTAACCTTTGTCTGTCTGTAAAGAAAAGAAAAAGTAATATTAGATTTGCAACAATAATACAAAATTAATGTGCAAAAAAAGTACATAGACGCAAAATTAATGCAATAAATTCTTTAAAAACTAATTTAATATTTAAAAAAATTCAACATAAGTCCACAAAAGCACATAAAATATGAAAATGAAGAATTATAAAGCATTATTGATGTTATGCAACTCAAATTAGTTACAGAAACTAAAAATTTAGAAATTATTAAGAAAAATCAAAGTTCAAAACTTTAACACAAATTTTTATGTGCATTATAAACTACAGCAGATAAAAAGTATGAAATGCATAAAAATAAATGAAAATTTTTAAATGTAATGGAATTTATCCTAAAGTAAGCAGATTATGCAAGCTTTCTTTATTAACATTATGATACGAATTAATTTGTAATGTTGGCTTGACTTTTTTTTTTTTGCTAACTTTGAATTAATTAGCTATTAGTATAATCTTTAATCCTTCTCAATGTACTTTAAAACTACTCAACCATTACTTGTCTTCAGTTACAGTCTATACTGTGAAACTAAAAAATCAATATAGGGGTATGCACATGATACACCTAATTGAAAACCTGACTGCTATCACAAAGAAAATATAAATAAATGTGATTACAAAGAAAACCTAAATTACATGGTCATCTTCCTATTCAGCATGTCTTATTTGTTGCTAAATTTGCTTGGCATAAAGCATATTTAAAACAGAACAAATATTTCAACCTTTATTACAGAATACCTAATTCATATCAGCATGGGACTACACTGTGTGCTTTAAAAAGGTGGTTTTGCAACAAATTTAACATAAAGATTGGTTTTGAGAAAGAAAATTTCAAATATCAGTGTATGCATTAATATGATGACCTCTTTTGTATAATTTTCTTCACAAAGTTGATGCTGTTGGCGGTCCCAGAGTGTGCTTGCCTTCCACTGTCGGTCAGCTTTTGCCTCATGGCATCATCTAGTAGCAAGGGAACAGCAATGCAAGCTCCTAGTGTACTTTAAGAGTTGTCAAATGACATGAAGTGGTCAAACTATATTATCAAGCACAGCTGTGCTTCACATCTTGTAGATTTTTGGATCAACTTCCAGGGAAAAGCACCTGATTCAACTGGGACTGCTACCATTTTTTATGTGATACGAGAGAATATGACTGGTCGTTATGGTTGATCTTGTGCTACGAGTACAGTTGCAAGCCCTTGTGTTCCTGCACTGTAATCAAAATGCGTGAGGATGCCCAACTGGACCCTTTGCTGCTCAGGAGAGTGAAAAGTCATGCATGTCATGTTGTTTGTCATTTATCCCAATGCATGTAGAAGTGCACAGTTTTCTCAGGTCTGTGGTCATTAGTGCTGTGCTCACCTTCTCTTGTTGTAGTTAGCTTTTGTTTCACAGTCATGTAGCAACATGGAGTGCAACACAACGAATGCTAAACGACATTGGAAGTTGATATTAAGTCTACCAAGTAAAATCCAAATACCTTACTGCATGCAAAAGTGTAATCTTTCCGATATTGAAGGTATTTGGATTTGTTTCCCATTACAAAAGCCTGATTGGTCTTAAAGACTGCCAATGTCCCTAGAAATAAGGATTTCTATGTGCAACACCATGGGTTTACAGTATCCTTGAAAGTGATAATGACCTAGGGAGTTAAGCAGAATCCAAACAATTTACTACAGGCAAAAGAGTTACCCTTCTAATCTTGCAGATATTTGGATCTGTTGCCCATTGCAAATGACACACAGGTCACCAGAATTGCTGTAAAGTTTTCTTTTTATTGTTTAGAAAATCAATTCTAAAATTTGTCTAATTTCCTTTCTCAGAAGTTCTCAAGTCAATAAAAATGTTTATATTACATGACCTTTTTGCTCTAAGGACCATTATAATTTGAGAATCTGTATGAGAAAAGCCAAACTGCTTCCTTTAAAAACTGTAAACATGATTCACTTAAAAATTAATTTCATGAAAAACTCTGTCCAAATACGACACAGTTTTTTTAACTTTCAACCAATTTTTCTCTTTTATTGCATCATTTGAATTGTATTACTGAAGTTATTGTATTTATTCTGTTAAATTTGTAGAAATGTAAAAATGATCTATGAATTTTATGTTCATGATACAGATGCTCTGGTATTCAAAGAACAAAATTCACATTAAAAATATTCATTATTTTTCATGTAATATACAGTCAAATTATCAAACTCTTGCAATTATCAGTATCTTGTATCAGAAACATTAAAGACTTAACCCATGATATAAGGAGTCTATAATTCAATTTCAGAAGAACGTTTTTATTTTTACTTTCAAGAGGTACAAAGATCCCCCCCCCAAAAAAAGCAGAAGACTGAAAAGATAACAATGCCCGAAATCCTCTATATTGTCTTTCACACGTTAACCCTAAATTCACAATTAATGAAATTGCAAAACTACGAAAGACTAAAAATGAAAATTGTTAGGTTCATGGCAAAGTCACTACAAAAGAAAATACTGATTGTAGAAGATATTTACCATTGTTTGTTGGTTTAAAAGACAGGGCAACTATGCTAAAATCAGATAAACTGAGTAAAAACTGTGATGTTATGTAACTGCATTATATTTGTTCTACAGTTCAGGATACGTAGATCACTAATATTTGAAAATTATTGACAAGCAGTTTTCATATTCAGTAGCAGGTTAGAGTTCTAATCAAGATTCAGTACTGAGGCAAGTTACCATATTCTGTCAATAACTGGCTTTTATAGTTATCCCTAAAAATAATTTTACAAAAGCTACCAAACTTGTATCCTTAGGTGAAAATTAAGTTGTGTCGCTCAAGCTTTGTCATCAAATATAAGTTTTGGATCAATGTATGATTTTCCTAATAGTGAAAGCTCTACATTTGCAACTTTCTACAAATTTAGAACAAAATGTAACTGGCCAGAAAAATAATGGTTTAATTTTGAAAGGAAGCACACAAATCTTAAATTTTTAACATTGTGAAAGATATTTGAAAAATGTGTACTTTTTTTTTTTTTTTTGAAAACTGTTTTCCTTTATATACTTCACATCTTTTATAACACTTATGTATTGTTCATGAAAGTTAGCTACCATTCATTCATGAAAGTTCGTGAAGACCTCACAAATGCTGAATCAATCTTTCCTGCAAAATTCTGAGGTGCATTTCTATCTGCAACTCTTACAAAAATACACTTTTCAGTTTCTATGCAGAATCCACCACACATCCACTGTTGTGAAAGTATTTCACCTGCTTCATTTTTGCACTTTAGAAAAAGGGTTTTGGTACTTATGTATTAACTCAAACACCTTGGTGCAATTTGGCTATTTTTTACGTACAATAAGAAAGACAAAAGGTTAAGTTCCCATACTACTGATATTTGTTTTAAGTTAGTAAACATTATTGACACGTGAAACAAAAACATACGTTAAAAATTTAAAACACAAATTTTAATTATTAAAGAAGCAATCTGTTTTTGTAAAAAAAAAAAAAAAGAGAGAGAGAGAGAGAGAATTGCGAAGACTCAGCTTCATGCTGCCTCGGCAACAACACCTATCTATGAAAGGTTTTTCTTCTTTGTTCTCTTAATACAAATTTCAGCAAAATTCTGTATTCCTGTCAAAAATTTTATTGCCGATTCTTCCATTCCTGGCAAATGCCACAAGCTCATACTTTATTCAGCCCCCAAAAAAGAGGGCAGCATTACTTGATTGAAGAACTGATACTGGAAGAATGGTTATGAACATGGCTATCAAAGTTTGACAAATTTTGAAAATTTGGAGAGTTCTACTATGGCGGTTGCATTAATATGTGAATACCAGGCTTTCATCTATTTCTATCATTTTGCTAAGCCCTCCAGTTTTGATCGAAGCTCTTGTTGGAACAACAAATAGTTTAAAATCCCTCAACAGATGGCAGCACCAGCCAACAGCATTTTTAGTCCCTAAATTAGGCTTAACAATAGCACATGCTAACTTTAAAAATAAGACGTACATAATGTATAAAAAAAGGTTCGGGAGTAAAATTACCATTTAAATAATAGTATATAATTTATTTTTAAGATTTAATTCATAATTTTTATAATTTTAAACACATTTTATATTTAATTGTATGTATTCAGTATAAACTTTATCTGTGAACAAGCTGTGTGACGTATTGCCTCCTGTTATTGTTGTGGAAATGGTAGCACATGGAACTGGAGGATTGATGCTGGTGTGTTTTATCTTATGTATTTGCCAAAATAAGATGGACCTGTAATAAAATAACTATACCTCGATTAGTTGAGTGCTGACTTTACAGTGAGATAGCTACACACAAGCTAAGAATGTAAAATACCAATAATTAGTGACTTTGGACATATAATCAACATGCCGGATGATACCACAGAAACAGGAAACGTGGTTGAGGCAAGTTCAGTTAACATCAAAATTCCACCATTTTGGATTGATAAGCACGAAACGTGGTTTTACAAGGTAGAAGCCCAGTTCCATATTTGTGGTGTTAAGGCAGAGGATACAAAATTCAATTACTTGGTCGCACAATGGGAACCTCGATTCATAAAAAAATATATGGGATATCGTCAAAGATGGTCCTAAGCAGAAATACACAGCTGTAAAAGAAAGACTTTTGAATACTTTCAAGAGAGTGAGAATAAAAGAATAAGTCGTTTAATTACTGGACTGGAATTAGATAACATGATACCAAGACAGTTATTACGAAAAATGCATTCACTTGGGTCAAACGACATATCGGACAAAGTGCTGCACAGCTTGTGGCTGGATAAGATGCCAGACACTGTTAAGAATATCCTTATTAAAAGAGAAGAATATCTGGAGAAATTGGCAGAAATGGCAGATAAAATTATGGAAATGGCTGCACGATCCCCAGAATTGTCCACTATCCATGTTAAGGCAGCTGGCATGGATGAGTTAATTGCGAAAATTTCCTCACTTGAATTACAAATAGCAAGTATGCAGTCTGAGCAAAG